ATTTCAATGCCACTTTTCCAACACCCAAAACATGCATAAATACAATCGGAATTTAACATAAGTAAAATGCGATATATATACAAAATTATTCAAAACTTGTTTTATTAAAAAACTAAACTAAAAGGCTATCGAAACATACCTTTCAGAAAACGAGACCTTCTCGGCAAAAATCACAATAGATTTCAACAGTTTTTAATCGAACGGGGCGTTGAGAATAAATAGCTTGAATAATAATGAGCCGCACTGATTCGCGCGTTGCATTTCGGGAATACCCTCATTCCTCCTCTGAGGACTTGATATACTGTGTAGTTATATTTTTAAATCGAAGTCCTGACAGTATTTTATAGTCGCTTCGCCGAAGGCATCAAGACGTTCAGTTGTAAATTTTCGATTGAAACTGTTTTGTTGAGAAAATCGTATAGCTTATTTGTGTGATATACATGTGTATTGTATTTTTCTGTTAAGTATTTGCTAAGTTGACATGTATACTTTAATATATGTGTGATTTGTTTGAAATGCATACACTATAAACTCTTGACGAAGAGCCTTCATTCGAGACGTCGAGTTTCTGCTTGTTTTTTTTTATTTAAGGTAGTAATATAACCACTCAGCAGTCAGCACAGCATTTTCACATTGGTGCTACCCACACTGATACAGACAGTTTTAGTATATATATTCACATTAATAGCATGTAGACAGCATTTCCCAATATTACCAAATGTATGGCATGTACTTGCTATCATAATGGTAACCGTCCTATCAGTCAGCCTAAAACATGTGTATGGGACTGCTTATTTAGAGGTAAGCCAGCCATGGCTATAGCTTTCGCTGGATGAATTTCTGTTTACATGAGCCTCTTTAGATGGGAAAGCTTGCCGAAACAAATCACCCAGACTGAGTTGTATCATAGAAGCACATTTTCCAGTAAAGTAAACCGACATCATATTTTTGCAGACAGGTTCGAAATGTAATCCATTGAGCTGCAATGCGCCCCAGTACGCCCTACATATTTTTTACTTGTTTAACGCCAGACGATTTTACTCGTCAGTGGGGAAGCTCTGCAGCTTAAATTAATGGGTTAACCAAAAAATCTGACAATGTCTCTAGTTAACCCATTGAGCCGCAACGTACCCCAGTGTGACCTGCTTATTTAATTTACTTGTCTACCATGCACCAGCAGTGATGTAACTTTACTTTTTTGACGTTGGTCATGAAAATTAGTTGCCCTGAATAAAATCCACTTGCCATCAGACAATGGCCAATATATATATATATATAAAGGTAACTATAAATAGCAAGTACAAAGGTAACTATAAATAAGAGTTACTTTCATCCTGCTCATCAGCACTACACTGATGAGGCCCATTAGGCCGAAACGGTACCGTCTGTAGTTAGATATCGCTCTATGGCGTTTAGGTCATATTGAGCGCTCTACAGGATGAGCCATGCCGCTTACGCATTGCGCACGCTCACTGCTTGCAGTTTGAGCGCTCTGGCATGGTTTTGATGTCCCACAATCGTGAGGCATCAAAGGTAACTATAAATAAGAGTTACTTTCATCCTGCTCATCAGCACTACACCACAGAATAGATATAGAGCAGAAGGTTCACTCAAGCGTAAAAAGTGTGCCAGAATGTCAGCCGACTTCCGGCGTGGCCGCCATGTTGAAAGCAACCAAACCAGAGGAAATTTTATAGGAGTTAATATGGCGGAATACGAAATAGAGCCACTAAAAGTGCTCTAGCTTTTTATGTATCCAAGCAAAACTCATGATACTTTGAAATATCATAAAGAAGAGGTTGTTCTTTGATTTAATTGTCACTATGAGGATGAGAAACGAATTTAAGTGTGGAATTTGGCCATTGTCATACATCGATTAATTTCACCTCGGTCTTTGGCGAATAGTGATAAACATATAAAGTTATATAGCTTATGTGTGGTTAGTCCGATCGCCGTAAAATATGTTTTGAGTGATAGGTTGGTGATATTTCATGGTGTACAAAAGGATTAAGGACGTGAATGCCATGAACAATGAAGGAAATAAATCGAGTTCATCGAACCTTCTGTGAATCTGGGATCACCTATTCAATACAGTGTAATTCAACTTGGCATATTGGCCTACAATCGTTTAATATAAAATAATATTGCGATATGAAAGAAATTGCTGGACCTACTTCTTCAAAAATGAATTTTGGGGATAATATATTGACTTGAACCTATTGAAATCCTTTGGCTGTGACTTTACAAATTTGGTATCACAAGTGACAAGGCCTCCTATGACATTATCATGACTGTTCATTGATATTGGAAAAATAGTTTAAAGATCAATGCTTGGATGAATCAGGGAACTTCATTTACAAAACAGACAATAAGAGACCTGATTTATCTTAACAACAGTTTAAATTATAAATCTGTGAGATTCTAATATACACTCTAGTTTTTAAGATACATATTAACAGTTTACTCTACAATGAGGGGAAAATAATCTGAATATGAGAATTTTCTCTGTTACTCAAGTTTATGTTACATTTAGCACCAAGTATATTATTGTTGCTATCACCTTAGGGGCTGTTTACATGAGCCCGGCTAGCCATGCAGGCTGGCCCGGTTAACCAGGCTGAAGGCCTGGCTAGCCAGGAGGTTACCTGAGCTGGTGACTTTACATGGAGAAATTTCAGCCCGGTTATCCGGGCATCCCATTTGACTCAAGTGAGATCTCGGCTAGGCAGATTCTTGTTAAATGATTTGTATTAATCTGGGTGCCTCGGTTAACAGGACTAGTCGGACTCATGTAAATAGCC